TTCTTGGGGGCTGCTCGACATTGAGCGATGCGACGGTATCGTAGTAAGAATCGTTCGATTTCGCGGACCGGGCAATAGACAATATTAGACAAAATTGTGTATATATGAGTCGCGTTGTCCCAAATATAATAACAGTGGGAGTACAACGGAAGAAATACTCGTGTTTCAGTGGTGGAGAAAAAGAGATTGTGAGGTGTATGGGTTGAGGATTGATGGTCGCCAGAAAGTTTTGGGGAAATTTTCCACGTGAGGGTGCGGAGATAAAATTTAAGTGGACTTATCTGGATTTATCTCCGCTTTCTTAGTTATCTACCTACTACAAGAATTTACTTAGGAATATAACTGATCGGGAGGGACATGTAATTACATACAATCTATTTGCTCTAATAAAATTGATTGACTATACATGAGATCGTTATGATTTCTCGTTTATGAATTTTATGCATTCATCACTTCGCTTCAGTTCCCATCCAGCCCGTACCATGCCATCCATACTTCCATCCTTGACTCCATGAACTCGTACAAAAAATCAGACAATCAAACAGAGCAGACCAAAAAGCCTCCTCAGTGGGGCGAGGGGAGGGAGAGATAGATATACAGCCCAAGACTCACAACAAACATCTACAACTTATTACCCAGTAGCGCTCCCAGTCCCGCTATTTTCCGCTTTCTCTCTCTCTTTCTCTCTCCTCGCCTCCTTTGACGACGATGCATTACCCTCCGCAGCAGCACTCGCATTAGCAGCCGCAACAGCGGCCGCCTTGCGTCTCGCCCTCTCCTTGTCACGCGAACTGGAGCCCGCGGTCCTGCGTCTCCGAACGGGTTCATACACATCATTAAAGTTCATGACGACGCCCAGGAACCGCATGTCCACATCAGGCTGGTAGGCAAGATCGCCTAGGAGGACGTTGAGACGGGAGCGGAACTCCGCAGAGAGGTCGCGGAGGCGGACGCGCAGGGAAGCGAGCATGTGGTCGTCTGCCGAAAGGTCGTGGGGATTGAGGGAAGAAGGGGTGCCGATGCCAAAGTCGTCGGCACCACCACTGGCGAGGTTTGGCGTGTAAGCAGCGACGGACGGGGACATGGAGGAGGAGACGGAGTCCTTGTGGCCTCGAAGGGGGCGGCGGAGATCGCGGTCAGTAATGCCCCAGCGGCCTTGGGCGGTGCGAGTTTCTATTTTGGCGCTGAGCTCTTGTCTGCGGGTGAATTCTGCGACGGAGAAGGAGTAGAGGCCGTCAACGGCGTCTTTGTAGGCGAGCATGATTTTGAGGATTTGGTGGAGTTGGGTGAGGAAGCCTTCTTCTTGTTGTTTGGTGTTTGTTGAGGAAGAGGAGGTGGTGTTGTTTTTGAAGGAGGTGGAGGAGCCGAGAAGGCCTTTGTGGGTGATGGAGTTGAGGTATTTGGTGTGTGCTTCGATTAGGTCGTCTAGGGTGCAGCCGGGCTTGGAGATGGAGGCTTGCAGTTGGTCCCAGCTTGCTTCGATCACTTCGAATAGGATGTAGTATTGAAGTTGGCACACGAAGTGGATCATCTCAGCGATTACGCATCTTGCTCGTTTCCAGTCCGAGCCGACTTTGTCGTTGACGCTTCCTAGGACGCCGCGCGCGCCGGTCATGCATCGTCGCCAGGTGCTGCCTAGGGCGAATTCGACTCGTTTCACACGCCAGAGGAAGTTGAAGACTTTTAGGTATTGAGTGGAGCCCCAGGGTGTGATGACTACATCTACTGGGGCGTCAATTTTGTATTCCAAGGTGAAGCAGTCCCAGCCAATCTCTCCGTGGCTGAGTTCTAGCATGCGGGCATCAAGTCGACGGAGGACATCTGGGGAGTCGTATTGCGCGTTTGAGGCTCGAATAGCATGCTCCAACTGGGCAGTCAGTGTATGCCGGTACTGTGAATTAGCTGGCCGGTCGAGGTTGGATGCTAATGACTCCATCAGTAAGGCGATGAAATCACCTTGTCCGAGCAAAAGGTATTTCTTTAGTGCGCGAAGATGGTCGAAGAGCTTGAACTTATCGTCCATAAGGTAGATCAGCCGTGCCATCGTAGTCTTATAGGCTTCGTCGATTGAGGACTCTAGGGTAGCCGTATCGCCGTACCGCAGTTCCTTGGAGGCTTCCTTCGAGTAGGCTTCGACCCACCCCGAGTCTCCACAGCCATATCGTATGAAGTTCAGTGATTTCCCGATCAGGAAAACCTTCTTAGCAAAATCTTGTGTGATGATGGAGGGCACCATCTCATCGTCAAGCTTATACTTGTCCTCCCAAACACTGGTCGCAATGCGACGTGGGTCCGTACTGGGCCTAAACTCGGGCTCGACAACGAAGAATTCTTTGTAGGGGTCGGACAGCTCGCCATCGTAGATCCAAAGCCGAAGCATATCGTAAAAGGGCCGGGTGACGTGATTGAGAAGCTTTTCTGCCAGAGCGCATACAAACGGGTCGCCATGAGAAGTCGAGAAGCCATGAATCAGAGAGATCAATTGACCACCTTTCTTGTCTGCAAATTCAACGTTAGCTTGCATACAGTCCTCTCACAATCGGAGCACATACTCTGAGCTTCCTCAACAATAAGACTCATCAACCGCAGCGCCATGGTTGCATCTCGCGTCCAGACAACACATCGCTTCAACGTCACACCACTCTTAGAGGCACTTCTAGGATCATTGGGATCTGCAGGTGCCGCCAACGCCCGTCGGATCTCTCCTTCCAATGTGGCAACTAGGCCCAGATACGAACGGAGCTCATTCGAGAGAGCTGCCCGCAAGCTCTGGCTCAAAAGACCACCGCCCGAGCTCTCAACAAAGGACGACAACCCACGATATAACAGACAGGGCTCTGCAAGAGAGTTCAAAAGCGAAACGACCGGCAAGGGCAGTGACGGCGGCAATTTCAAGACAGAGGATGAGGAGAACTGCAGATTGGAGGACGACAACCCCTGCAAATTGAACGGTAAATCACGAAGAAGCCCATCTTCCAAAAGTCCCGTAGGCTTCTGCTCCTTCTCCAGACCAGGATCCGGCATTATCGTCTTCTGATCATCACTAAACGGTTCTCTCACCCCAGTATTCGCCCGACTACGAGTAACCCGAGTCTCTCGAGGCCTCTCCGTGGTCTGCAACCCCCCGTCAAGCTCCGCTTCTCGCTCCTTATCCGCAAACAACTCCTGCTGTCGCACCGAAGCCTTCCTCTCAATCCTCCCAGGCAACTGAGACGCCGACGAACTAATCGCCGGCCCCTCCTCATCCGATTGATCACCAACCCCCCAACCCTGTTGTTTCGTCCTCTGCCCCTTCCACAGCACATTCTGCAAATTCGCCGGCTCGACCGGCGGACTCCTCGCCTCCAACATCACTTCATCATCCATAATAAACCCATCATGGTCATCCGCCCCAGAAAGCCGATAAAGCAAGTACAAGATAGCCCACTTCTGCGACAGCACCGGCTGCGTCAACAGACGCGAGTAAAGATTCGAGAACCGCACCGCCTTATCGGGGCTCGCATTCTCACGTAGTAATTTCCGTTTGATCAGGTCCGACGCGTTGTTGATGTTCTCCCCGCCTGCTAAGCTTCCCCGTCTGTTTATTCCGGGGCCCGGCGGCGAGGCCGGATCGTTGTTGGCGGCGCTCGTGTAGGTGTGGAGGATGCGCCATGACCGCTCGAGGATGTCCTGGTGTCGTCGTTCTTCTGCTGCTGCGAGGGCTTCTTCTGCGTCGTCGGAGTAGCCATCGTCGATGTCGGAAAATGAGAGCGGAGGGGTAAGGGAGTCGACGAGCTGCGAGAGGGCGTCGTCGATGCGCCGCGGGCGCGCGGGTTGGCGGGTGGACATGCTTCTTTGGGGGTCTGGTTTTAGCTCGATTGTAGAGCTTTCCGATATTTGGACTGTACCCTTTCTTTTGTTCTCTTGGGGATCAAATTGTTCTTGGGTAGTTCACAGCTCGCAGCCCACCATGAGACAATGGGTTATAGGTCGGCTGGCGCAGAATACCGCCTTTCGAGGTTAGACGCGGCGAGAAGTTAATGGTCGAACACAAGTGGATGGCCTGCCAATTCGCTGGAGTCCCGGAGTCTAGGGCATGGCGTCCCGCACCAGTCAGAGGAAGACCTGGAAGTAGTGACTATGGCATATAGTTTGACGTGTTTAGGTATCAATTGCGTCGGAGCCCATCGCCGAAGACTGGGTGACCCGCGTATGGAAAGGATGTTGTTGTCTTGTTTGACCCGTTTGTACGGTTTGAACCTAAATCCACCGCGTCCTGCCAAGCACGCCGTTACTGATCACCAATTGCAGGCCGTCGATCTATCAAGTACATTACAGACTACTGTCTTGATTACGCACATCCTTACAGGTGTCGCAGTTTTTGATCGAAGTATCAATTGGAATTCAAGCTCAGCAAATTCCCTAGACGCTTAATGGCATCTAGCATGAAAAGATAACGATAGCAAGAAGCCTCCAGTACGCCACCCAGTACCGTGTTTCGCAGCAACAAAAAATAGCGAAGGCAAACACCCAGTGGCCCGCAAGTATCAGACAGACGAAGAGAAGCCCTCATAGCAAAGGGGATAGCAAAAGTGAAAAAGAGAAAGCAAAAGATAATGAGTACACAATACACCACCCTAGCCTGAAAGTACCAAATGCCAGACAGGACGAGGGCTCTTGAGGGTCGAAGTGAAAAGAAAGAGAGAACAAGTGATGAAAAAAATGAAAGCAGCCAAGCTTTTGCGCCAAGTTTGCACCTTCTGGTGATCAAGTGATGCCCATTCCACTTCAAATTCAGCCGTCCGTTTTTAGAAATCGTATACATCATTAACACCTATCCATGCCGGTGGCGCGTAGCCAAATAATAAGAGCAAGAGGTAGCAGGCAGACAAGGCGCCACACTCTTTCACGTTGGCGCCTGCACTCCTGACGCAAGAAGAAGAATTCAAAGAATATCGGCCGTTCTTCAACCGAATGAACACGACCCATCATATATTATCATGGTCTCGCATAGGGACTCATTACCGTCGTAGCCCCTGAGCAGGGATAGGTGCTCCAGGTTGTATCATACCGTTAGGGATGTTGTATGGATGCGCTTCAAATCCGGCCGACATGCCATTCATCATGAGAGGACCCAACCCTTGGGCCTGGGAGACTGGGCAGTCCTTATGCGCAAGCAACAAAGTCTTGAGATTGACGATTTCTTCACGGAGCTGTGTGACAGTGGCAGTAAGCGCATCGTTCTCGGAGGTAAACAGTTCCACCTTCGCTTGAAGGTTGGCAAGCCACTGCTTCTTTCGCTGACGACACTTGAGCGCAGCAACCCTGCAATCCACGTTAGCACATAGCTGCGCCAAAATGAAGCAGCGCATCTTACCTGTTCCTCTCAAGGAAGTTCTTCCTCTTCTCTTCGTCAGTCATTTTCTTCGTGTCTGTCGAGTTTTTCCTCTTCATATCATCTTCATCATCTTCAGAATCCCCGACATCGGAAGGAGGCTCAACACTACCAGACCCGTTACTCGTCTTGGCCTTCTTGTTTGACCCTTTAGGTGCATCTTCTGCCTTGCGCCTGTTGTTTCCTGCGGTGCTGGCTTTGGAACCAGTGTTCTTCTTGGCTTTGCCCTTGGCAGCAGGCTTCGTCTGCTCACCCTGCATGTCGGAAGCGTCGCCGCTGGTCTCTCTGCCTGATACACCGTTCATGTTTTGCGAGTTACGTCTATCAGCGCCAGATTCAAGTTGCTGGTCATTGGCCTGGATACTCTGTGGCTGAATCGAAGCTTGGTTCGACACAGCGAATTGGTTGGGATTCGCCTGTCCGCCCTTGGCCAGCATGAAAAGCCCGTTGGCCGCATCGGCAGCGTCATGATGACCGAATGGGTCGGAACCTGCAGGTTGGTTCGGCTTAATATCCATATTGGAGTTTTGCGTCGCTGGATCAGGTTCGGAAGTGGGGTTAGAGGTTGGACCACCTAAGCTGTTCTTCTTGGCAGCGTTGAGAGCAGTACGGTGGAACTCGATAGTCGACGGTGTCGCACCACCACTCTGCAACTGCTGCAGAAGTGCCTGAGAGTTTGGACTAGGAGCGGGAAACATAGACCCCCCTCCGCCCGGTGTCAATCCAGTGCGGAGAGAAGACTCGTTAGGAGTAGGGAAACCCCTGCCAATACTGTCAAAGTAATCGCTAGTGCCAGTCGGACCGGCGAGCATAGCAGGACTCAGCGGCCCGGAGCGCAGAGAGTTGGACCAGCCGTAGCCGCCGCCGGCAGAACTTGTGCCCGGCAGGGCAGGTGAAGTAAGTGCTGCAACAGGAGGAAGGATCGACTTTCCGGGTGTTTCGCCCGAGGAACCACCACTGCCGAAAGATTGCTCGAAGGGATTGGGTTCCAGAGAGAAAGGGTTGTGGACGGAATTGAAGTAATCGGGAGTATCAGTCGCGCTTGTTATGGCTGGTCGCGGAGGCGGCGCCAACGAGGTCTGAGGATCTACATCAGGCTTGGTATCTTTGAGATCCGAAGAGGTCGCCCGGGAGTCTGTATCCGGAGCAGATGTGCGCGTTAGTATGACGACCAACAACAACAATAGTAATAATGATAATAATGATGATGATGGAGTACGCGACACTGAGGTTATCTGAAACAGGGGTAGGTAGAAAGAGGTTGGCCAAATAAGGCGGTCCAGGCCGAAGTTTGAGAGGAAGGGGATCTGATAACAGTGACCCCCATCGATGACGCCAATTGTGAGGTCATCCCGACGGCGGCGGGTAGTCAACAGAACATTTGGGGGAACAGTGGCGTACAACCAAGCCAGAACAGGTCAAGGGTCGATGATGAAGTAAGGAAGTGCAAGATACAGCAGATATTCGGGAGTTTGGAATATGGGAGGTACCAGAGTTCCGCGCGCGCGCAAAACGAAGGATCGAAACAGTTTTTTTTTAAAGATGCACAACACTCACTCACCTTCGTCTAGACCCGCCTTTTTCGCACCCATTGGGGAAGAATTACGAGTATCGGTATGATTAGTTAGACTGGTCGAAACGGTCGAAGTAACAGCCGCAGACATAATAGCGAAGAAAGGAGGAGGGGGAAGATATTTTGGTTGGTGTCGATATATTAGATCGAGGGAGGTCGACAGGTGACCCCGGGGATGTAAGGGAAAAAAATAGCCAAGCGAGCGGACGGAGGTGGCGAGGACACGAAGAAGAATAAGGACGGGGACGGACGCTGAACAAGAAAAAAACAACTGGAGGGGTACGGGAATGGGAAGTTAAAAAGAGACAAAGCTGGTTGATTGAAGTTAGTAAAACGCGATAAGTTGTTGATGCTTCGGAGAGCTGGAGATACTGCAGCGCAAACGCCTGTACCCAGAGGTCACTGAGCGAGTACACGGCAGTTCAGACAGAAGTAGATCGTGTTGGAGAGGAAGGGGAAGGGAAAGGAAAAAGTTGTGACGTAGTCCGGGCTTCGACAGGGAGATTATTTAGGGGGGAAAAGAAAGAGGGGAGGCGGTCGAGTGGCCGTCGAGCCACGCTATTCCTATTTGGTCTCGACTGTCTGTCACGCCGAAACCATGCAACCCTGAGAGTACAAAAAGCCCGCGGGTTACCAACCAGCCAGAGTGCAACCTCGAAACCACTAACATGTATTTTTTTTTTTTTTTTCGAAAAAAGATTTTTTTCTTTTCTTTTCCTTTTCTATTCTTTCGATTTTGTTTTTTTTTTTCTCTTTTGAGGTTCTTTTCACTCTTCTTTTTTTTCTTAATTCTTATCTTCGGTTCTGGTTCTGTATTCGGAACCAATCTTGTTCTTGCTGCTCTTTCCTGTTTAGAATTGTATTTTTCTTTTCTCTTCCGTATTTTTTTCTTTTTGCTTCATCCACCCTATGATTTTTGATTTCAAAGCAGGAATATTGAAACTCCGCAACAGAATCTCGCCCAAAAAAAAATAAATGAAATGAGTAAAGGGTAGGCGAGGTAAGAACAAAAAAAGCACCGAAAACTAAAAACAGCAAATCAAAAAGAACAACTTACCCTATAGTAAATGACCAGGCACTGTATGATTATGCAGGCGAAATGCTGGCTGGCCCTTACTTGCAAAAACGAAACTTGGAGACGGAGTGGATTCCCGGCAGTACTTGTCAGCCAATCCAAGCAAAGAATAACCCGGGTGGACGCGATTGTTGGATGACGGCGGAAACGATAGGCAAATTCAACCTAATAAGAAAGTGGTAGTAGATAGTATGACACACTTCCGGGTCCCGAGGAAAGAAAATTGCAAAGGTATAAGAATGTTGGTCGCTATCCAGGGATGTGTGGAAAGTACACGAAGAGGTTGCCCAAAAGTTTAAAGCTTGGATTCGAAGCACTTGTAACCACAAACTGGCCAACAAAATGTATTGGAGGCAGAAGAGGGAAAGTTGGTTAAGGGCGAGAGAATTAGGAAGGGGTAAAGAAAACCATGAATGAGATCACGGTGACGACGACAGGAATTTTCCTGGGCTTGTCGGACAGTCGGACCAGCCGGCAGTGGCCACTCGCGCACCTTTCCATAAGACCACTAATGTACCAGCGCATCCACTTGGTCCAGCCACTCACGGGCCCGTTTCCGAGCCCCCGCCCTGCAGAGTCTCAATCTCGAGCGGGTGAACGAATCATGGAGACGACGCCATGTTTGTCCGGCCGCAGGGCGGTGAGGGATCTTCGTCTGTTCGAATGGTCGATGCCACTTCCATGCCATCGATACCCTCCCTGAATGGCCCATGGAGCAACGCCTAAATCTGAAGATACATAGATTTCGGGTCCAACAAGGAAATCCTTCCAATCCTCGGCTCTCTTATCGCCGTTGCCCGGATTCTGGGTTCGTTCTTTCTCATTTCAGGGGGGAAGTTTTGTTCCAATCAGTCTCGCTCGGGACATCGAGTGACACGTCCGCTTGCTGATTGGGCCCCTGCTGATGACGCAATACTTCTAGGGCCTTCGTCCCGTGGGTATCCATCACGTGAGAGTGTCTCGCGCGGTCTCTTTGGGGCCCAAAACAAGGATGAAGGAATCTAGTGGATTGCCACTTGGATTCTGGACAATCTATTCCATTGCTCCCCGTGTGTGGTACAGGCTACACGGTTGAATGGTAGACCGGACAAGAAGGTTCGGAGTAGAGTATACGGCGCCCCCCCCCCTCCACATTATTAGGCTTGAGAAGGCCCCTACAAACTGTCAGTTCGCGTCTCGTTTAGGCCTTGGCAGTGGTACTGCGTTCCCCAGACAGTACATGATAGTGCTACAGGTCAATATGTTCGTTACCAGTCCTATCGAAACCAGTCCTGTCGAAACATTCCATCATTATCGATATTGAAAGGAGTCCAGTATTCACTGTAGCTCCGGTGATAGTATACTTTCTTTTTATGCGTTGCATCATTGCCAAAGTCTCCTGCACATAAGTATGCACATGTACCTTCGAAGAATCACTCACTGTATGTGATGTACCCAGTACTTCACAACCTTCAAAGTGCATGACAAAAAAAAGTTTCCCCTGTCGTTCAACGGTACTTTTTGATAAGGGAGTATTTAGGCCCAACGGCTTCAATACTAGTGAAAGTATCTGCAGCTGCGGTGCGCTTCCATCTCAGCTGCATGATCAAAAAGGTATAGTCCCGAGTTCTATGGGACATATCATAGATTAATTGCGTTAGCCGAAGTGACAACAAATTGATCCCTCTCCCCCTCCTCCTTCTTTCCCACCCTCAGCATAGCAAAATGTGTTGGCTTGTCCGGGGTTTGTCTGTCGCTCTTCACGCTAGTCGATGAACCTAACACACAAGTACTGTTTCCACCATAATTTAGCCTTTTTTTTTTGCCCATGCAGCCACCGAAATCAGCGGTTGCCCATGCAAGCCTTTCCGAGAAGTTGGTCAGAAAGTCTAGATCGCGGACTGTTGGTGTAGGTAGTTATACCTATGGTTGTGGTTATTTCGAAGGACATGATAACTGTGCGTGTTTTCTTGGCAAATAAAGTCGACTGAATTTAATTCCATTGCTTGCCATCGCTCGCACAGACGTGAAATAGGAAGAAGGTTGTGAAATTGCGCCATATTTATCTACTTCGGCGTTGATTAACCTTTAGTGAGTTTGTAGGGGGTAAGCAATTAACATCCCCTATTAGGCTTGCGACTCCATTATCAATGGCATGTCACAAAACTATTGAGCCGTGCATGGAATGGTTTCAGCTTTTCTCCAGATACGTCATAAGTATGGGGATGCATGGGGCGCTCTCCACGATAAAATAACTTAAGTAACTTAATAATAGGTAGTCGGCAGCGATAAGATTAAGATCCCATCCTATCCTATTCTGTCCTATCCGTACACAATCGCCCCATGCCTTCTATTCTAGGTATCTCTTCGTCATGAGCCGCGATAAGTCGAATAGTTCCAGGGTCCCAACAGCACGGGAACGTGATAATGCCGCCATCCTTCTTCTCCCTCCCGGCCCCGTCCCTTGACCGTAAACTTCACCTCGACCTCGGGCCAGAAACTCTCAACACCTTGTGCCTCGTACCATGGACCAACGTCAAAGCGAACGGACCAATTTGTCTTGCTATCGGCAGTTGGGAGTGCAGAAAGGATAGCGGGGACCGACGAAGCGGACGATGAAGTTGTGGTGGGTTCCCAGTTTTTGACTCGTCCGTCTGCGTCGGTCGTCGCCTGGAAAGTGATGGGACTCTGGCTGCTGCTGGAGGGTGCAGATAGGAGGGTGAGTGTCACTGGGAGGTTCGCCGCGGGAGTACCCGTCAGGGTGTTCAGGACGTGACAGGTAATGGGGTCGCGAGACATTGCGGTGGTATTTTGGGGGAGGGTCGATGCTGCGTTGTAGTTGTTGAAGGGTTGTGCTGTAGAGTGGATCGGGGATTGGAGGAGTTGGTTGCGGTAGAGGCTAAGACGGTCTGTGACTTTATCCAGTTGACCACTTGACGGCTTGATTTCCGAGCTAGGGTCCATCAAGAGAGAATAGGGTAGGTTATAGGTAATTATTTCAGATACTGAGAGAAAAGTAGAAATTGTCTCGAGAGTGTTCAGCGCGCGAGGGGCTTTTTCTATCTCCGCTTCTCATGCATCGGAGAGCACCGACAGAGCTACCCTGGGATGCCGGAGTATACCATCGGTGGGGTAACTCGAGGGGGTGGTTCCAAAAGCTCGTAGCACTACAACAGCTCCAAACTGTTTAGTGCTCCTGGATTGAACTTAGAATTCCAAACCCACTAGCTGATCAATTTTGATATGAAGATGTGTGTGTGTGTGTGTGCGCAACCCCGGCTTGGGATGCTACGATACCAAGTAGTAGTAACGATTGGGGTTCATGGTGCCCGTCGATCTGACTAACCTACACTTCTGTAACGCAAGACCCGGCTTTTATCATGCGGGAACAAGCCAGAATCTTTTAAGTGGAGATGTCCGCTTATTCTTTCTTGTACGTGTCAGGTTGCTGCAATGGTGTAGTTTCATAGAATCTTGTACTGCTCTTTAGTGCCTCTGCCTCTAACCGCAGACAGAAGCTAGCTGGAAATGACAGTTAGCTGTTTATCTGAGCTCGATTGGTATGAATGGGTTGCTGGTCGCAAAACGAATAGCTTCAGAATTGAGTCCGTGAATAAGCGACGAAGAGCCGCCGGCTCGATTAGATTTACATAGATAACTAGTCAAGATTGTCTCAGAGAAATGAGGCATTATGTCACTTTATTGACGGGTGGGGTCGCCTCAGGCAGAGAAATGATGGCATCCGCACGTGCGTGTTACACCGGCTCGAATGGAAACGCTTTTCTTTGGCGCTGCACATGATTCACTAGAGTGATTGTACCTGAATCTTCAGCATCTCCCTACCGCGCTCATCTGAACCTGAATAGGCCTGTTTCACGCCAGTGCTCGGGTGACTCTATCTTACCGAGAACGTTCTCGAACTTGTCTAACCGCCACTACTGAAAGTTTTGGGCCTCTGCGGGGAACCGATACGTGGTAAGTCCAAGCTTCGATATCGCGACACTGCCTCTTTGGCAAGGAAGCTCACTCAATCGCAC